CCTATGTATATGTACATAATAGCTAAGTATATACACTAATTCATAGTCTATTCCATACTAACCGTTAAACCGTTAAAGCAAAGCGAGAGTGACTCGCTAGTTCTTACAGTAAACATTAAGTTACATGTAAAAACTAGTAACATACATTGGAATAATACTTATTATGATAATCGAAGCTTATATTCGTGAGTAATAAAAAGCTCCTGTAATTTTATATCAGTTCAAAAACAGCATCGTGTTTTCCTGCACTTAAAAATAAAACATCAGCCAAGGAAGTTTTTCATGTTATACTATACCACGGACTTCGTCATACGATGAAAGTACAACGACCTTTTTTTATTCAGCGAAATAAAAACCTTCTACGTGACAATACGAAGTTTTATCGGAAAGAATTTACTGCCTAACGCTTTCGTTTAGTTGTCATAATAAGCTAGTTACAGAAGTACAAAATTACTTTAGGGATTCTAGAATTTAATAATGTATTTATATTATATACATTGTGTTATGTAGAGTTTTGACGACACGTATGGCTCAGTGTGTAGTGACTCTACTTGCTGTGCCAGCGGTCGCGGGTTCGAGTCCCGCTGGGGGCATTCATTGTCTGATGAGAACGATTTGTACTCCAGTCATGGGTGTTTATATTTATAATATGTATGTATTTAAGTTTTATATATGTGTAGTGTATCAACTATCTGGTATCCATAACACAAGCCTCGTAGCTTACCATGGAACTAGATGGTGTTGTGTGTTAATGTCCCAACATATATATTTATTTATTGTGTTATGTAGAGTTATTCTAAAGGTTAAAGATTGCTTCCTGGTTTTCTTACAAATATCTTAGTTATTGTATAGTTTGTTTATAATCTTATCTTAGCATGTAATACAATCCAATACTCACTTAAATATGGATTCTTTATTTGAATTAAATAAAACGAAATTTTGCTACAACCTTAATTCTGGCAACAATATTCCATTGAAATCTTTCAAGGCGTTACTGCGTAATATATTAATACACATTATAGACAGAGACTAAGATGCAAGAAATAAATTGTCATATAAATTATAATTATCATAAAGCTCATGTGGTTTATTGCATAGGGACAATATTTTGATGGTGTTTCCATAGAATTTTTTGAAAATAGTTTTATGTCAATAGTTTAGAAATGTGAGGTAGTGGTAGCTCAATAGTAACATGCTAGCTTGGAAACCAAGTGAAGCGGGTTCAAATCTCCTCTCTCGCACTTCTGATATTTTCATGTGCAAATCATTTTCTACATAATAATCAATTGCCTTATGTTGAAGAACAACCTACATGTTTGAGAGAACCTAGTAATTTTTCGGAAAATATGTGAATCCACACATCCCGCACTTGGCCAGCGTGATGAACTATTGCTTGATCACCCTCGAATTGAAGGGGAACCTGTGACCAGCAGTAGGGCATTAAATTAAGCTTAACTTATAATACTTTCTTAGATTTACGCGCATATTTGACATTTTAAATAAAACTATCTTTTCGGATTATTTCGCGGATTTATTTTGATTTTTGGTTCCCGACGTTTCTCTCCCATGACGTGAAGATAGTATTATTTAAAAGGCTTGACTTAATTACAACAAGAGCTAAATTACATATACTAAAAGTGAAATATACTTAATCATTAAATATTAAAAATATATAGTTAGGAACATAAAGATCGCTAACTCTCTGAAGTAACTAAAAATTGTGGATATTCTTTTAAATGAACATACTTAGCACAGAATTCAGAGAAAGCGGTACTGCACGGGCTAGTGATCTTGATCAAGTGTTCCACTCATGTCAGTTCATCATTTTCTATAGATTGACTGAAACCGAATTATAAGGAAATTCAATACATACTTTAGATATGAACTGAACAAAAATATATGAGATCATACTCGTATTCAGAGAAAGCAGTACAGCACGCTCTAGCGCTTCTGGTCCAGTGACCACTGGAGTTTCATTCATTGTGTTTGAAATAGTTTCTAATTAGAAGTAACTGTTGGCTTTGTATTTTAATTTCAAATCACTTTTTGCTGCACGCATTTTGTGTGGAAAAAGCGTAAATGTATGTAAATATTATTTTGGGGATATAGAAATAGACAATATGGACAAAATTATGCAAACAAAATATATTTTAATAACTATAAGCTTATTCTTTATTTACTTTTAACCGCAAATCCAATCATGTATTTAGTATAACAACATTATGGAATGGTACCAAAAAAGGTTAAGTTATTCTATATATTTTATATCGTCAACCCTTGGGAACCCTTTTTTATTTTTAGGATAAAAAGTATCCCATATTCCTCTCTTCTAAGATAATTGTCTTATTAAAAATGAATTAGCCACCCCGGAAATCAACAAATAAGTACGTAGAAACGGATAGACTGACAAAAATAATCTTATACGATTTAGAGCTTTGTTACCGTTAAATTAAACATAAGAAAGGTTTTTTGTTCCCTAAAGGATTCGATGGAAGTTTGTATGTAGTTAATTTTTGAAGTAATGGAGTTGACAAGTAGTTAGTAGAAAAATATGGAAATTGATGTTAGAGCTTCTGAGCTTTCAATATACAAAAATGAAAAATCCCATAAAGCTTATACTACCTACCAATAACTTGAAAAAACAATCTTGATAAGAGTTTTTTATTTTATGAAGTTATTATCTTAAATTTCTTTGTAAAAATCGGATATATTATATATAAGTACAAACCTTATTTATGTAAATATACAAAATAACTTCTCATTCTATCTAAATAACCATTTTGATATCTCTCCTATATATCTTTATCTACACAATATTAATTAAAATCGCCATTGTCTATAATAACATGAATTTATGGTTCACATCCAGCATTAATTAAGGTGTATTGTGTACTTGCAGTGTCATACGGAGGTTTTTTAACCGACTACACAGAGGAGGATTATGTTAAACACTTTTGCTATGTATTTATGGTCATCGGTTTCTCGGATATTGATATACAATTTTAGATTCTTTAAGCCAAATATCAATATTTCCATATAAAAAATCACATATTAATGAAGAAATATTACACATAATATTTCTATAGTAGCTGATAATCAACTTCGATATACAGTAACAGTGATGGATATTGGCATTTCCACGCTAATAACTGGATAGTAAATAATAAATCGACACATAACTTGACGTATGGTTATGAATTACCTTTTTCAATTAAGTGTCTAGTTATACAGATATTAAATATTATTTACTTGAAATAATATATAAAGTTATTTTTTTTTATTTAACTAGCAGAGTTTAAAAAACAGGATTTCGAATTAGAAAGATTAACAAGAGATCTAACATTCATTATACATTTTTTTTTTATTTATTTGGCCCCTTTAGAAAAATAATGTTCAAAATCCATGCTACTGTATAAGAAACTCTTTTTAACGTCCCATACTCTTTTTAATGTTCCCGCATGATTATATATATATATATATATATATATATATATATATATATATATAAATATGTATATATAAATATGTATATATAAATATATATATAGATAGATATTTATATTTTTTTATATTATTAATTCAATTTTCAACATGCCACAATATGGCGATGTCTAAGAATGAAAAAAAAATCAACTTGTCACACAGGTGCAATTACGATAGAAAACTAGTATTGAATATTTTTATATTAAAGCGATTATATGGTTACAAGTACAAGCCTTATTTATGACTTTAGGTACGCTAATTTCATGGGTTTTAATTTTTAATAACCTTAAGTAACCCTAATCCTTTTTCATAAATAAAAGAAGCCTAAGTTACTCCTTATAATATCTGCTATCTGCCAAATCCCATTAAAATCGGTCTAGCCGTTTTGGAGATTACAGTTTTTTTCTTATTAGAACTATATATACCTACCTACTTTCATGTGCATTTAGTAAAAAGCTATTATTTTGACATTAAATAAACAGACAGTTCAATTATATTTATCTGTATAGATAATATATCGATTAACTTAGTATTGAAAAAGATAAATACAGATTTTTATTGAAATACTCATATGATACAAACATTGACACAACTAGGATATGTAATAGTTTTTAACGTGTCAGTCGCTTCAATAGAAATGATTTCTAATGAACTTGTGAAAGTCTGAGGCTTACCGCAACTTGGTCAGATATCTAGCAGATACTACATTCCTTTAATTCATTTGCTTTTTATAAATTAATGTATCATATTTTATACTCTATTGCATTCCATTACAAATGTTGTTTTAAAAGAAACAGCTTTTTCATTCTCGAGTATGTAAATTTTAATTTGTTTATCGCAAAATGCGAATAAATTTAAGATATTGCAGAATCATTATGACAATTAATTACAATTATTAATTACTAGCGACTCACCCTTGCTTCGCTCAGGTTCGTCGTCCCATACAAAATTAACAGTTCTGATCTTATTCAAATCGATCCAGCCGTTTTTGAGTTTTAGTGAGACTAACGAACAATAATTGATTTCTATATATAAAGATATACTCGTAGATTGCTAACGCTAAAGATCTAACTTTTATGGGTAAAATTGTAAGATCTAATTGCAATTTTAATATTTTTAAAATTTAAATTGTGTAAAAAAAACTATTTATTAATGACTAGTAATGCACTCTTGATTTTCCTTGATTATTGTTATATGAGACACTACAATTATGATTTAATAGATTTTATTCTACACCTTTAATCATTAGCCCTTGTATACTCGTACAATTAATCACAATTCATTTCTAGCGTTTATGATATTTAAATTAATATCTCTGTTTCAGAATAAACGAGGAGCGCAGTGTCAAGAAATATTTTAGAAGAACTAACGTAGTGAAAGTGAATAAGTTCTTGTGATTACAATAAGTTTTATAACAAGTGATGAGGATTTTTGAATTGTGATGTTGTTAGATCGAGGACCAATGAAGCGACGCAGGCGTTACATTTTCTATACAGTATACAGTGAAAGCATATAAAATGATTTTTGCCATTTGGATCATTACAGGATGCTTTACATTAGGTAAGTGATTGCTATCATGTCAGCCTATTATTATAAATGAGAAAGTTTTCATGTTTGTGTTTTACTCTTTCACGCTTAAACGGCTGGACGAATTTAGATAAAATTTTGTATATAGATAGTCTGGCCTGGAGTTACAAAGCCTATGGCACATAGGTTACCTGAAGTAACACCTAGGTATATTAGTGAAATAATGCAAAAAGGTAGTGCTGTCTGTATATAATGTTATAGATACAATAGGCACCTAAGGCAAAGAGAGAGTAAATCGATAGTATTTACATACAAACGAGCCTCTTCTTATAATTCGCCTTATCTTAATAATCCTGAACATATTTCCTACAATGCTAATAATACTATATTTAAAGAAAATAAAAATGATAGTAAAAATACACCAAAGAAACATTGCTACGCTTTTGCGTCGATATACCAACGCTTCTTGAGGTCTAACTAAGCATTAGAAATTTAAAGGCACTAGTCGTGAGAGTACCAGAATAGATTTTGAAACTTATATCCTAGGGGATTTGAGTATGTATGTCAATGTTGGTACAGATAAATAACTAAACTAGAGTGGGTGAATTTTGGTACAGAGGAAGAGTATTACCTACTGGGAGGTTGGGACTTGGGATACACTAACTTTAAGTACATAATTTATGTCACTGTTTGGTATGGTTTTACTTTATTCAAGTTTAAGGTTACAGTTTTTTTCTAAATAATAAGACCCAGTTATGCAAAAAACAGCCATGTGCGTACTTACCAACAGAGTTATAAGCATTTTATTATAAAAAATAAAATAATTATAAAAAATAAAATAATTATAAACAATAAAATAATTATAAAAAATAAACAATACTTATATAAATATTGTTCAATTTTAAATAACCAGAAAAACAAAACATAACCCAAGTGCAACTATCGACAGAAAAATGCTTATAACTCTGTTGGTACTTTTACGCACATGGCTGTTTTTTGCATAACTGGATCCAATTATGGAAATACAACTAAAAGTTATAAGAGAAAAAAAAACATATTCTTTTGACATATTAAAAAAAAGATTGATCTAAATTAGTTTCACGTTTAGAAAAGCTGCAATGAACTTTGTAATTTACAAACAGCATTTCGTAAAAATGAGGTTTTAATTTTATTGGGTTTTAATGAAATAATATTTTTTTTAACATATCGCTAAGATTAAATTATATTTAAAAATATGGCAATGCATTCTTTAATTTTGTTATAATTAAAAAAAAAACGAAAATCTTATTTCGCCTTTACATATATTAAAGGAAATGTTAGAAAATTAATCAGATATAATATACCTATTATAGATACATAAGTGTACTATAATAAAACCCAGTATAAAGACGGCTTGTAAAGCATTATGTACAGAATTGCAAATGATAGCAGCTAATCCTTATATAAAACATAAATATGCTAATTGATAATTAAAAAAAAACAAAAAATCATGTTGTTATTTTAATTTGATTGATATTATATAGAGCTTAATTAATATAATTATTACTTATTATTCATTTTCTCAATATTAATTAATAATTATTAAACTAAAATATATAGGTATTTATTATAAGCTATAACTAGTTTATCAATTTTCTAAAATATGATTAAAAATTAATTCAAATTAAAAAAAAATAAGCTTAAAAGTTTCAGTGAAAACATCAAAATTCCTAAATTAAAAAAAAACAATTCTAATAAATACTTCTGCAGTATTAGAATTCCGCCAGGCATTATAAGTTCTTAGAAAGTACTAGGATATAAGAGGTTAGCAGCAAGTCTATTTTAGCGAGCTGTATCTCTACACATCCACGTCCAGCCCTTACGTACACATAGAGTTTTTCTATGATTACCCCGTTTCATTCGCACCTATGATTGAGTGTATACGTTAGAAAGAAAGGTCCGAGACGCTATCGACACATATAAGTCCCGTATGTCTCTCTTCAGTAAACTCTACATTCATATGTGAAAACGGGATACAAGTTGGTTCTGATGTACGATACTCTTTTAACATTGTACTAAGGCAGTATAAATACGTAGAAGGTTTGAAATAGAATTGAATTGAAACATTGCTAGTTTTTTGAACAAAAAGGCAACACTAACGGAATAGCTATTGCCGATATACTGAGTTTTATAGCTTAGAATATTAGACATTCTATACAGTATTAGAAATGCTTAATAGATTGTTATTGCTTATTATTGAAGATAAGCTTCAAATAAAAAATCCACTATAATTTTGGTATCTATACGTATAATATTATTATTATTATTATGAAATATAAATATATAGAGTATGCTTTATTTATGTACCAAAAAATAGCAATTTATTTTACTTTACATTGGTATTTCTCAATTTTCGAACATGTCATACACAAAATACATGGACGAATTAGAGACATTCGTTCATGACAAAATACAATACAAAAACAAAGTTATATATATATATATATATACACTGAAGAATTATTTATGTTTGTAGTATTGTACTGCTTTTTTTGCTTTTTCTTAGAAAAATTGAAATTACTTTAAAACTTAGTGTATTATTAGTATATGTACATAGTATAATATGTCCATCTCAAGAAATGAAGAGAGAACTTTTCCCAGTAAACATTCTCGGATAATTCAAAACAAGTATAAATTCCAATATTTAGAACTAATTATATTAATTCTCTTCAAATATTTCTTAAAATGTCATAGAATTTTCGACAAACTTCTATTTCCTCTAACTTCTATTTCGTGGAACATATTACCCTTTCTTTTGTCCCTAAAATTTGAACAATGTTGTATTAACATTGTCTAAAAGCGTTCGCCATGGAAGCGTATCGTGTCGTGTGACTCAACCTTGGTTCGCTCGGGTTCGTCGTTAGTTACGTTTTAACGCTTAGATTTCTCAGGGGTGAGATATTTTCCCGCAGTAAAAATTATCCTACATGTTGACTCGGATAACCAGCTATCATCATACCACATTTCATCAAAATCTGTTCAGTGGTTGTCTCGTGATGCGTTCCCAGACAGACAGACAACAATTCCAAAAACTATAATATAGATTCGGCCTCTGTATTGATAATAAAGGATAATGACTGTTTCAATAAGATTTTCCAAAAAATATTTAATGTACATATTCGACTCAGTTACAATTTTATTATAAGTATAGAGTACCTACCAGTAGATAAGATATGATATATAGTAGAGATAAAAGAGAGAAGCTTACTTATCTAGGAAAAAAAATATTAAATATTGGTATTAGTAGTAAGTAGTATTATATTATGTAGTAGCTTAGCGTATATTACTGATAATAAGGTTTTTTTTCCTATGAAGTCATTAATTTAAGCTTATAAGCTAAATATGTTGTAGACAGGACAAAGACGGGTCAAGTAATTATGCAGCGAGTATAATTCTGTCAAAATTCATTATTCTGTAAAATTTTATCCAAATACTAGCATTGCCCGCGGCTCCACCCGCGTTCAGATGACCAAAAACTAAATTCTTAGGTTTTACATATTAGTATACTCTTACATTGCAGTTTTTGTACTTTTTCTCAGAAATGAGTTATTTTCCCGCGGTAAAAAGTATCCAATATGTTGGCCCGGATAACCAGCTATCGCCATACCAAATTTCATCAAAATCCATCCAGTGGTTTTTCTGTGATGCGATAACGGACAGACCGACAAAAATTCTAAAAACGATAAATTCGGCCTCTGTATCGATAATAATGTTTATTTCAATAAGATTTTCCAAAAAATATTTAGTGTACAGATTCAGGTTAGCTATTTTATTATATGTATAGATTAAGTGGTCTTAGGAAAATGTCTCCTTTGTCATTTTTTAAACTCCTTGTGGGTTATTACTATTACTACCGCACTATGTTATATTAAAGCTCACTGATACAATGCCAGAATCATATTGTTTATAAAATATCACAGCCAAGCTATACAATATACTGTTTACTTTAACATCTCCACGTAAATTTCTAAGAAATTAATTAAACTTGTAAGAAATCTATTGTTAACTGTAACGCCGGCGTGTCCGCGGTCGTGGAGGGATTAAATCTCAATCTCGTTATACTCAGATTTCTTTTGTCTTATTTAGCTATTTCTTTTAACTTTATATTCTTAACACATTTTTCGTAGATGATGATGATTCCATACAAAAACTGCTTTGAAAACATTATAATAAGTTATAAGTTCATTTTGGTAAAATATGATGCTATGGATTTAGCGTTATCTTATAAAGCGGGCGTCATATGTTCCCTACATATTGAATTGATAACATTAAACACACGAACAAAGATTCAAGCTGTGGCAATTAGTTATATAAACTTAAAGTATATTACGTATGATGTATCGTATAAGTATATCAATATTTTCTTTAATAATCAGTCATAGATTGATCAAAATTATTTACACAATATGCACTATGCAGTTACAGTAGATGATCAGGAATCGAACTCTCTATAACACACGATTACGAGTATACCAATACCAACATGGTATAACAGGTGTGTCCTTGGTTATTTCAAAGGTTCTAATAAAAGTCAGTAGAGCTTAAATAAACAATAATAATACGATAAAAAGTTATTATATTTTCTGAAGTACTTGATTATCATAAAAATGCTATTTATCCCTTACTGCCTGCTTCGCAATATATTTTTTAGGGCTAAACATACGATAAGTAAAAGTGATATTGTAAAAACAAGCCTTTTAGTATAAGAAGTATATCAACTTTTGTCAATAAATGGTTTATTATTAAGTTTCAGGGAGATGAGCTTTTAATTTTTACAGCGTGAAAAGGTAACAAATACACTTACTCGATATTTATCTCGTTTTGGTTTAAACAAATTGCTAGATTCGATTCCGGTAATTAATCATTAAAAGCAGTAAAAGCCTAGTGGTAATGCGCTCGCTTGAGAAACCGTTTGAAGTGGGTTCAAATCATCATTCAATCATCAATCTCGGACGTCTGATATTTTCATATGTGAATCATTTCCGAACAATTTT